AAATAATGGAAGTTAGTACAAGTGTATACCTATTCGAGAATCAAGCCAACTTTTTGTGTTATTACTAGAAAATTGTGGCAATAATTGTCTAAAAGTTCTTTTTCYCCCTAAACGCTCCACACAACTAAACCCAAAATAAATAAAATAACAACAATAAATAAATAACAACATTTGTACATCTACAACTGCGTACTTAGACCAATATTGCCACCGAAGTTCTAGTTCCYCCTCACTCCGAATACGACGTTTTTAATATTTATTTGTATGAATTTTTTTATTAGCTGCTAACGATTCACCACACTTATGCATCTACTTATGTAAGTATTTAGATGCGGGTATGAAAGTGTGTGGCATGAATGTTTGCTATTCCTCTCAATYCTGCTTGTTGTTTTGTTTTAATTACGTTTCCTTTTCGCTTGTTTGTTCTACGTTCTGTGTCTTAGATTTTCCTAGCGATTCTCTGGATTTGACTTATTATTTTTTTGTTTTTTCTTCTGTTGACTGCGGTTGGTCTTCAACAACTTAGTCGCGTCAGTTGTTGTCAACACCAGGCAACAACTTTGACCACCGGCGTTGTGTCTTGGCGAGATGTTGTGCCGAAAGACATGTCTACATGTACGTTTGTATGTACATAAGTGTATGTATGAATGCATATAAGAATGTGAATACATGCCAAGAAATCACTCCACTGCCTATCTACCTATGCAGCTTAGGGTGGCGCTTAAATGCAGGATTAAGATTTTTTTTTCTATTTGACAAACCCCAAAGCTGGTGTTCTTAAGCGGTTTCAGTTAAAAAAAATAAAAATTTACTGTTTTATTTATTAACATTTATATATTACTGCCCTAAATTCTCAAAATTTTAAAGTCTGTTGCTAATATTTCTTGGGTACCACTCAACCGATCTTAATAAAGTTTTACGCAGTCCTTCGAGATATAATTTATGAGGTCTTCAACAAAGCATTTTTTTCGTTCAATTACAACAATTTAAAAGAACAAAGCCTCAAATGATTAAGACGTCTCAGATAATGGTCGCTATTTCCAATTAGCACCTTACTTTATATKTTTAAGTGTTATTTGCAGATTTAGGGGGTTACGTGGAGTTCGTCGTGCAAAAATCTAACTATTTAAATTTTTTTTTATGTAATAAAATTTCATGTTTTATGCAAACTTTTTATCTAAAATCTAAAGATATATATTTTACAAAAGATTAGAAATATAACAGTTTAAAACTTTAAGGGATCACCCTAGTATTGGCTCTTGTGTATATCAAGCAATTCTATTAACCTAATAGGCATGCTCCGTTTTAAGTACTGCAATAGATATACTCCTGCTTTCATATGGCTACACTTTTTATATCCCTACATATGGTACATTTGTATGGACTTGTATTTCTACACATGCAAGCGTTTGTGCACTTGTCATCGTTGCACGCAGCTGCTCTTATTAATTTCACTTTTGCACGCACATACTTTTGTGATATCTATACATATGTACATATGTACATATGTATTTTTTATAATTTCCAAATGCGAGCGCAGTCTTAGATTTCTACAGTGCATAGTAAAAACTGTGATATATTCAAATAGTCGATCCACTTCAATAACATGCAGAGCCTACACATGTCCGTCGCTTTTAACATATATGTATACTTAGAAATAGGCTTTATGAGCCTGTGTCATTTTCATTTTCGGTGTTCACTCGCTACTTAAACACATTTCCAGCGATGCCTGTAGTTTCCTCCATTCCCTTGAGCTTCTTTCGTCGATCAGTACTCAGGGAAGCCTCGCAATATTCAGATAGACTTTAGACAAAGAAACAGTTGTAATTGCCTAAAGTTTTTGAACGCCTAATAATTGAAGATATACACAACCCATATAAAATTCCTCTTCTGCGACCGTCTGCTAAAGAAGACAACATTTTTTGGTTAAATAAACAGAAAAATCTCACTGAACGACGATAACATCTGATGAGTCAACGTTACGAGTTTTCGAGAGAAAGATTCTGTGGAAGATTTATGGTCCTTTGCGCATTATAAGACGACATTGACATAGTTCAATGAATTAAGACTACGCTAGCTAGCTCATATCGTCCGAACGATTGAAAATACTACAACTCTGAAAGTATTCGATGCACTAGCCGGCGAGGGGAAAGCAAAGGAAGAGAAAGACCTCCAATCCGTTGGAAAGACCAAGCGGAAAAGGACCTGAATTCATTWGGAATCTCATGCAATTTCAATATCACTGTCAGAAATTTGTTGGCTCTTTTGATRCCCTTTTTACTTGTAGATTACTTATGCGAACATGAACCTTACCAACTTACAAGGTTAGAAAGAGAATATAACAACTGTTCAATACAAATTCAAGTTTCACGTCAACTTGGACGGTTAATGAAAGTCTGGATTCATTTGTGACAAATGCTTGGTTCAGCCAGGAACACAATCATTATCTTCACAGTGGCACAATTCAGTTATTAGAATTTTGAAAAATTTCGAAAACCTCGCAAAACTTTTACAAAAATATTTTTCAATTATGCGACAATAAAACAMCTTAAATTTAATTTTTTTTTTAATTATTAGAAGCATATAATTAAAAGTTCAGTTTTGTTAACAAAAAAAATCAAATTACTCCACTTTAACTAATTATAATTTTATTTTCTTTCTTTCAGGTATGATTATAAATCAGTTCTCTCTCTCTCCCACTCTCTTCGTACCATTATAAGTAATGTAAGTAAATAAGAAAACTTATATATTTTTCACTCTTCTTAAACTTTGGTTATAAAAAAWTGAAAATCAACGCTTAAAATATTAAGAGTGCTTTTTGCTTGTTAATATATTCAATATTTCAATTACTTAAAAAGAATTAAATTTGAATCTGTATTTTTTCAAATATATTTCCAAATGTTTGGTTTCACATGCTCCACTCCCACTGTGCAGTTCTTAATATACAACTGCAACTTGTTGTTAAGTTAAATGTATTAGCGACAACAAACTTTTAAAGCATATTGTAGAGGTCGTGAGATCTAAAGGGCCTTAACCGCAAATTAGACATGCAGCAGAAGCGCAAAACTACAATGCGTTTTTAAGTACCATACAAGTGTCCATAGGCCTACCAAAACTCAATGTTTTTTGGTGCGACAATTTCTCTAAAATTTTTTACATACTATATAATTATATTTATATTTAATTTTTATTTTTCGATTTTACTCCAATTGTTGTAATTTTTCATTATTTCGTTTTACATTAAATTGTTTTATAACTTCAATGTGTTTTATTTCAGTATAAACTTAATTATTTA